AGCAGAATACCCGGAGAGCAAATACCAGCGTGTGTTTATGTTCAACCTAATGCTTAAAGACAGACAGCTATAAACAGATTCGGCATCTACATACTGTTATATTTCTTGGTATTTTTTTTTTTTACTAATTAATATATTATGGAGAGCATCTACATTAATATATATAAATCTACCTCATTCTAACAGATAACTTATATTCCATCATTTGACGGATTAGATTTCATTTAACCATTCATTTAATGGACATTTTGGTTGGTTCCCAGATTTCTTTTTTTCTTACAAAGAATGATATAATAAAAGTATATATATGACTTTATATACTATTTTGAGTATATCTATAGGTGGATGACTGGGCCAAAGGGTATGTGTATTTCAGGTTTTATTTATATAGGTATTGCAAAGTACCCTCTGAAGAGGTTGCCACAATTTAGACTCCCATATCAGCTGTCAAACTTGAAAATCTTCACTAACCTAATGGTATAAAATGGAGTTTCATTGTCTTATTTTGCTTGTATTTGATTACATGCCATGTTAACTAGTTTTCATATACTGCGTTTACTCAGCCCGGACTGCCATAGCTAAATATTATTGACTGGGTGGCTTAAACAACAAGGATTTATTTCTTCCAGTTCTGGAGGCTGAGAAGTCCACGTTCAAGGTGCTGGCAGATTTGGTTCCCCAGTGAGGACTTTCTTCCTGACTTGTGGACAGCTGGCTTCTTACTGTGTCCTCACACGGGGGAGAGGGAGCTCTGTCTCCTTCTTATAAGGCCACTAATCCTGTTAGGAGGCCCTACCTACCTAACTCCCAAGGGCCCACATCCACATACCTTGACACTGGGAGTCAGGGCCTCAACACATAAATTTTGAGGGAGACAAACATTCAGTCTGTAACAACTATAAACTACCCGTTCATGCCCTTCATCCCTATTTCCACTGGGTCGTCTTGTCTTTTTTCTTACAGATCTGTGAGAACTCTTGGTAAGTGAGGAAGATCGGTCGTGTAGGCTGCATTGTAGAAAGAAGCGCCTCAGTTTTCTGCTTCAGTCTTTACACGTCCTATTACATTAGGGAAGGAACAATGTTCTGGCAGCAATTTATATGGCTTTGTGTTGCCTTCACCATGATTCAGTCTTCGGTTTTGCTGCTTAGCACTAACCCAGGTCTTGCTTTTACTCTTCATTTCAGGACTATTGTATCTCAGAACACTTAAAAGTTGCCCCTTCTTGCCTCACAAAAGACTCCTCGACTATCAGAAAAAAAAGGAGGATGGAGGGTGGTTCCGGGGACTGGGAAGGAGTGGAGGTGGGGGGGTGGGGGGGTTGCAGGGGGGAGGGCTGGGCGGCTCAGCCATCCAAAGCCCTTCCTCCCTCCCTTCCTTTCTTTGACTTGTTTCTTTCTCCTTTCTCTTTCCCTGCATTTACTCCCTCCCTTCGTTCTGTTTTTCTCTCTTTCCTTCTGTTTCTGGCTGTGTACTATAAAAATACATGTCTGGAGCTTGTGGTTGGATTCCCACCATGGGACAGAGATGGAATTTCAAGTCATTCACCATAATTCAGCTATAAATTAGAGAATTCTTATGAAATAGAATAGGATGGAATGCGGTTTCGTGTTTTCTACCCCCCCCCACCCCGGGGACCCTGCCCAATTTGGCAATAGGGGAGCTAAATTAGGGGTGGGATTAGTTCTAGGAAGTGGATTTTTAGTATAGCTGCATGTCTAATCCACATGCAAATATCACAGACAGTGCCTTAGTGTATCTGTGTTAATGAGAAATCAGGACGTCGTGGATAACTGAAATCCCCAGCTGTGTCAGAAACATACTTCTGCTTTGTTTATCTCAGTTATCCTTCTACTGGAACTATCAACGTGGATTTATTTCTACTCATTTTACCGGTCTGCTTCCACCAACAAAACAGGCAGGAAGGCAACATGTTGCAGAGGGGAAAAAAAGAACCCTAGAGGAGGAATCGGGAGACCTCAGTTTCAGTCCTGTCTGTGCCTTCACTAGCCTGAGACCATGGGCAAGTCAAACAGCTTCTCAGAGTCCCTGTTACTTTCCTGTAAAAGGGACAAAGTAACACCAACCTCCCAGGGGAGCTGAAGGGCCCTGTGAAGTGTAGCCTGGAGCTAGAGCTGCCTTTGCCATCAGCCCATCCCTATGCGCATGGCCTGTTTGCAGTGCCCTGCACAGAGAAGGGGCTCAGCGAATGCCTGTCCGCTTTGCTTTCTCATCCTGCAAGTACCAAGACACTGCATTAGTGTCCCGGTGCTGCTGTAACAAATCACCACAAACTCAATGGCTTAAAATAACAGAAATGTATCCCCCCACAATTCTGGAAGGCAGAAGTTAAAAATCAAGGTGTTGCTAGGGCCGTGCTCCTTCCAGGAACGAAGGGAGAATCCTCCTTGCTTCTTTCAGCCTTCCCACAGGCTCCCAGCACCCCTGCTTGTGGCTGTGTCACTCCAGTCTCTGCCTCAGGGGTCACATGGCCTTCTCTGGGTCTTGCAAGGACACTTGGCATTGGATTTAGGGCCCACCTGGAAGATCCAGGATGATCTCATCTCAAGATCCTTAATTACATCTCCAATGACCCTTTTTCCAATTACAGCCATATTCGCGAGTCCTGGGGGTTAGGACGTAGACATATCTTTTGGGGAGGGCCACTATTCAAGCACTACACACACTTTAGGGATTACTTTATACATCAAGACTGTGGCCTCATTAGGCACATTTTTTTCCAACCACTTCAGAGAATCCCACCATCAGTTTCATATTAATAAATCAAGAGGTGTACAGGAGGAGAAGAAAGAACAAAAGCTTGTTTTTGTTTGTTTTGTTTTGTATTTATAACCAGGCAAAAAGCCTTCTCTCCTGGGTCCCCACTTTAGTACTGAGGAGTTGACGGTATTCGCTGGTTGTGTGCCCATCCCCCACCTCCTCGCTGCACATGTACTGGCGGTAAGGAAGTGCAGCCACCGAACCTTCTGTCTTGCCCTTGCTCTGACCCCGTCTCCCGCTGGCTCCACCCCACATCACCTCTGACCTCTCTCCTTGGCTCTCTGAACATGGCTCCCATAGGCTGACTGGCTGACATCCAACTGTGGGCTTAGCCCTCTGGTTAGAGGTTTGTTTGTTCCCTGGGTTTCCTCGGCTCTCCCACTCACCCTGCCTCCGCTACTCCCTGAAACTTCAGGAAGCCCACTTCAACTATAAAGGTCATCCAGAGACCACTCTGTGCCCTGGAATGGCACAGTTGAACACAACTGAACAGCGGAAAGAAGGTGGTCGCAGTTAAGCCCCACAGCTTCAGAATGACTGATCACCTGAGGGCAAGGACTCGCCGGTCCCTTTTAGGGACCGCAGTGCTGGCCACGGCAGTGGCTAACACAGAGCGCTTCCTTCAGGCCCACCAGCTGGGTTCCCTCACCAAGTCCTCACCACCACCCTCTAAGGTGATCTTAGCTCCATCTCTCATTTCCACGGAGTATGAAGGAGTTCAGCCTTCTTGGGTTTGTGCCACCAAGAAGACAATCCCTGGAGCTTCTCACTGCACAGAGGCACTAGAGAAAGAACAAAACTGAGAAAGGTCCTTGGGCTCTTGGGCCCAGCAATGCTGTCAAAAACCAAGACCTAAAAACAATTTAAAAAGCCAAGGTAATCTGGAGGCATTTTTACACTTCAGGTGGAAGCCTGAGGTTCACGGAAGAATCGCACGGGTAGGATGTTCCAGGAGAAGGATCTAGAAGGACAAGAGCAGCTGTCAGCTGGGCAGGGAGCAGGGAGCGCCGCAGCCGCAGGTGTTGGGAGCTGGGTAGACTCGAGTCCAAACCCCGCTGTGGCGATGTCCCAGGTCCCAGACAACTGTGGCAGGTCCCAGGTCAGCTGAGAAACCTCATCCCTACAAAGTGAGAATGGTAGTAACCAGGGCCGCCGTGAGGGACTGGAGATTACACAAGATATCTGGTACTGCGTGTGTGCCTGGAATTACAGCTATTACCACGATTCTCCCTCCAAGGCCTTCTTAACCCACCCCGGTCCCCACCCCACCCAGCCAGGACAGCAGGGACCCGCCGTGGCCTCCCCCACCCTTATACTAACTGCATAGAGTTCTGCTGCTGGGCCCTGGCCATCTGTGTGGATCTGGGGTGCTTCTCCCGCCACGGTGTAGCATGTCTGCCCAGAGCATGTCTGCATAATGAACAGTGAACACAGGCTTAGCACCCTGCCTTGCATAGCAGGTTTCTGTGACATGACCACTTAAGTGAGTAGGAATAGAGAATCACCCTCTGGATAGAACTCTAAAACTTTTTGACACTTTCCACCTCTTCTAATTCACCAGGGAAGCAAGAAAAACTATTATTGTGGTTACTAACAAATAGGTATTTAGGGCCATGCTCCCCGCTATGCACATGGCTGACCCCACTTACATCTTACATCCCCATGAGGAGGTACCGTCCTTCTCCCGGACACAGTGAGGCTCAGAGGTTCAGGAACTTCCCAGTCACACTGCTGGAAGTGGTGGCAGGGATGTGACCCTAGGCGTCTGGCGCTAGAGCAGGGCCTCTAGACTGTGGTGTCCCATGGCCTATCTCGCATGGAGGCCTGGGACGCGTGGTCTCCGCAGCAGTTAAAGGGAAGCCCAGTCGCTCTGGCCTGAATCCTGAGGCTCTAAACCGGAGGGCAAAGAGGTGAGGGCACCATGCTGAGCTCTCTAAGGCCAAGGCACCCAAACGAAGGACTGCATTTTGACTTTTGTGGGCCCGAGGCACTTTTGCCTTTATGTCTGTTCCTCCGTTTAAAAAAATAAAATTATATTTATGAGTGCTTTGGTATAAAGACAAATATAACTCAAACTGGATTATATTCATTTTGTTCTAAGACCCCGTGACCCCGTGCCTACTTACGCCTAACGGAGAAGGCTTCCACGTTATCCAAAGCCTTTGAGAGTGAAGCAGGAATGGGTGTTCGGGTCCCCTAACCGGCCTCTGTCTCCGCAGGTCCCGCAGCGGATGGCGGCGGCCCAGGGCGGCCCGGAGGACGGCGGCGGCGCCCCGGGCGTGTGGGGCGCCTGGGGGCCCTGGTCTGCCTGCTCGCGCAGCTGCAGCGGCGGCGTGATGGAGCAGACGCGGCCCTGCCTGCCGGGCTCATACCGCAGCCGTGGGGGCCGGCAGCCCGGAGCCCCCGCGCGTGCCTTCGCAGGCCACGTGGTGTCCGCCGTGCGCACGTCGGTGCCCCTGCACCGGAGCCGCGAGCAGCCGCGTGCCACCGCGGGCCTCGACGCCCGCCGCCAGGGCCCGGCGCTGCGGGGCAGCCGGAACCCACTGGCCCGCAGCCGCGAACCCACGGCAGAAAGAAGGTACACAACCTCGGGGATCCCGCCTGCCCAACCCTGTCCCCATTCCTGTCCCTGCCTGGACGGGCCATGTGCGCTGTCCTGCAGGACAGATTGCACGGTTAATGCTTTGCTTCTGCCAGGTGGGGAGGAATTGTTGGCTCCACGTGTCTCCTTTCATCTTTGGATCCATTTTGCTGCCTTTTAAAGCACTGAGCATGTGTCTCGCCACCCCAACCCCCACAGTGCACGCCTTCCTGTGGTCCTGAGGAGGCCCTTAGGCGTCAACCTTAGGGGAGCCCTGTGGAGGGGTGGCAGAGGGAGGGGATCCAGAGTGCCAAGATCTTGGTTCCAGGGCTCTCCTGGTGCAGAGGGCAAGGGAGAGGCCTGGACACAGGCCGTGTGGATCTGAGCTGGGGACACAAGGAGTCTTCTAATGCAAGTGCCCATGAAGAGTTTTGAATCCTTGGAGGAGTTGAATTCTGAGTCTTAGATGATCCGAGGCTGTAGGTTTCAGGATTTTATGGAACTTTTCTAGAAGGTTCCTCCAAAGAATTTTGAGTGAACACACTGCTTTGAGGATATGTCTAATTAAGGACCTAGACTCTTTTTAGAGTTTTAATAAAATGTAAGTTCTAGAAATTGAATAATGGCATCAAAATAGTTATATAGCTCTAAAAAAGAGCCTCCCATGGCTAGGCTGGTGTAAATATGGCAAACTAGGCACTGCCCATGGGAAAGATGGAACTGCAGGAGCTGAGAACAGATTGCCAGTGAATTAATCTACTGATACTTACAGATTAGCCAGCATTCATTCGGTCTTTGTTGGGTGCCCCAGGTCCTTGACAGTTTCTGAGAGAATATTAATACAAAAATATTAACAAGATGCAAACATTTACAAGAAGAACAAAAAGTGTAAGATATGCTCTCTATGCTTAACAAATGTATCATTTCATTGTCAAGGTAAATTAATGGCCACCCCAGGCAGGGCACAGGCATGTCAGGTGGGCCGCCTAACCCTCTGGGCCCTTGCAGTGCCGCATCAGCTTTGATGGCCACCCCTTCCCACTGTGGCTAGATGCTGCCTGAGAGTCCTCAGCCCAGAGCTGTAGGCTGTCCCTGCCAGCCACCTGGAGCAGGAGAAGAGATGCAAATCATACGCCCTTCCAGCCACATGCTCTTCAAGGTCTGGTCAGTAGAAGTTTGGAAAAAGAGGACCGTTTCACGGAGAAAGAGCTTCAACTGAATTATGAAGGATGAACCAAATGCACGTAGAAAGAAGTGGAGAAGTGTGCACTCTGAGGCCTGGCACGGCCTGTCAGTGGGAGAATAAGAGAGTGAGCAGCTGAGGAAGGACGCTTTCTTCTCTCTTCCTGTGTAGAAACCCAGGTAGCCTCCAGTGTCACTCTGCAACCGAGGGCCTGCTACTGCCAAAGTTTGAGGCTTGAATGTTATCTCCTTTCAGCCAGTCACAACCCCATAATAACGCAGCTCCCCATTTCCTTATCTGAAATGCTGATGGCCAGTGCACTTTAAAATTCAGCACTGCTCAGATTTAGAAAAGTAGTTCAGGGCCTATTTCTCATATTAATGGCATTCCTTCTGTGGTGTGGGGCAGCATCCCATAATCAAGCATATTATTGTTCCTGAGGGTGAACCATCAGAATGTTCACATCAAGTAGGATAAAAAAAAAAGACCATAAATAAATATCTTTATGTCTGCTAAGGTCAGGTCTGCTGCCCTATGAGTTTGAAGACCAAGTTGACAAAAACGTAAAAAGAAAAGGAAATACAAAAACTCGGTTTTCAAACTTCTTGGTTTCAGTATTGCAGATTTATAACAGCTAAGGTTTATTGAATGCCTGTTCTATGCCAGGCACTGTTCTATTCACTTTACACTGACCATTTTATGAGATAGATGCTAACATCATCCCCGTTTTAGAAGTGAGGAAACAGAAGCCCAGAGAGGTAGAGTATTCTGCCCGGGACCACACAGCTAGGATGTGAAGAGTTAGGACTGGAATCTGGGCAGAACATGCTCTAAGGACCTGAGGAAGTAGATGTTACACACAAAGAATCTGAGGCCTATGAGGTAAAACGACTACCTACCCAGAGTCCTAGGGCCATGGAAAAGCTGAGATTTGCAGGTGCTGCCTAGTCCCAGACCCCTGATACTCAGGGACCTCTGCTTCAGCCTCTGCCTAAGAACCTGGAAGAGCTCTCCAGGGAACAGGCTCTAGTTGGCTTCAGGCCTGGGCTGCAAGCATTCCGGCCCATGTGTTTTGGCAGGAGGAAATTTTTTTCTTCTGACTTATTGACAAGGGGCCAGTTATTGTTTACTATAAAGTTCCTCTAAGTTTTTATCATGCTCTTATAAGTTGACAGTTTCAGATGAAACAATCTAAATATTAGCCTGGGAGGCCTATGCTGCCGACAAATGTCATGCTCTCTTCCTGGCTGACAAAAATCACGTTTGTTTATATTTATCAGTCATTAAGAACTTGCATAGTATATGTGACCCCAGAAGAAATGTCAGCATGTTCTCTGGATGGCTGTTTGCTCTGCTCTCTGTTTCAGGTTTGAGGTTTGAAGCAAAGGCTGTTAGAGCTTGGATGTTTAAGGAACTGTGAGGTTGTTATGCTAGGCAACTGAAAACTTAACTGGAGCCAGTTAACAAATAAAACAAAACCATTCATCCTTCCGACAAATATTTATTAAGCATCTACTATGTTGTAAGGCCCTGAGACAGATACAGTGGTGAATAAAAACCAGGTTGGGGGCCTGAAGGCTCTTACCAACAGGCTAGAGCAGCTGTTTGCAAACTACCATTTTTTTAAGCATAAGAATACTTTCTGCAAAGTCATTCTTAGATGGAGGCTCCATTTGTCACAGACCAAAGCTGAGCTGATCTGGTTGAAGCCTCAGAGGTGTCAGTATAAAACCAGATGCAAATGGACCAGTGGTGGTTAACCTGGGCTGACCATTAAAACCCTCTGCCTATCTTTTAGAAATCTTGACACCCTGGTCACATCCCAAACCAATATCCAAATCACTAGGGGTTATGCTTACACATCGATATAATTCCAGTACAGCCAAGGGTGGGAATCATTGGTTTGGAAGTACCTCTTTGAAACTTCAAGGTTCCATGGAAAAGAATATGGGAATCAAGTAGTGTCAGGAGAATTTTCCAGATTCATTGAGCACATATCAGAATCACTTGCAGTGGGGTGAGGAAGCTTGTTAAGGGTAGGTCTGCCCAGTCGTTGTCATCTCCCTGTCCAATGGGGACTCCGTTTTGTAGGTCTGTGGTGTGGTCTACGTAGCTTCATTTAAAATGCTTCTGATGTTCTCCAGAGTTTGAAAACCACTTCTTTAGAAACTTAGACAAGACATGTATGTTTTGGAGCATATCCTATGTACAGGCACTGTATCAAATGCATTATAACATTTAGAGTTTATATGACCCTATGAGGCAAGTAGGTACATTCACATTTTACAGACAAGAAAGCTGAGGCTCTAACTTGCTCACAGAGTTCAGACGAAACAGAGCCAGAATTCTAAGTAGATCTGTCAAAGTCCAGCATAAAGTTCTTTTCACTGAAATGGGTATTCTTGAAATGGATATTTTGAAAGTGAGGCTGATTGCTTCCAACAGGTGTGGTCAGAAAAGCTTTTGGGAGGGTAGATAGTTTGAGTCACATCTTGAAAAATGGATGGAATTTGATAGTCAAGGCTGAAAAGTGAACTCTTTCTTTCTTCCTTTTTTTTTGCACAGCTTTTTTTTTATTAAAGTATCATTGATACACAATCTTATGATAGCCTCACATACACAAAGCAGTGGTTCAACATTCACCCATATTATCAAGACCTCACCACCTCCATTGTGGTCACTACAGCATAGTAAGATGTCATGGAGTCATTAACAGCATCTCTTTCTGGTATCCCTCCTAACCAGGGAAATATTTGAATCTAGTCCAAGGTGCCAAAGGAATTTAAAAAAAATTGCAAGCCACAGTCGCTCTCCTTGGAGGCCTGACACTGTGGTCATGGATCAATGGCAAATGCCCAAAATACCGCATGTGCCGGAAAATAGTAGAGATGTGCCCAGAATTCAGAAAGATGGGAAATCCTTGAAGGGTGGAGTAGTCAGGGAGGACTACACAGGGCAGGTAGGATTTAAACCCAACTTTGATAAATAAATAGAATTGACTTAGCTGGCATATATTTGGAAACTTCTTGAGTCCTCTCAGACTCAAGTCCATTTCAGACCTTTGTCTCATTAAAACACACACATACACCCTACAAATCACATTCCAGAAGGCCTGAGAAATAATGTCAGTATTTACTGGAGCTCTCCCAAGGATCCTGAGCTTAGGTAATTTAGCTTAACTTCTCTGAGCCTCAGGGGCTTCATTTTTCAAATGAGAGGAATAATAACACCTATCAATGGAATTGTTGAGTAATTAATGAAATCATACATTCATATTACCTGGTCCATAATGGGTGCTCCATAAATTGTGACTGTATCTCCTGCTAGGGGCTTAAGGGCTGGGTGTTAGTGTGTTGGAGTTCCAGCTGGACCTCTGGTCCTGTAGGAAGGGTTGGGTCGAGAACTGGGGCCACCTGGGAAGACAGGGAGGCAGGAACTGAGGTTGAGTCCATGAGAGTCCCGCCCTCACAACTTGGGTGCAGCCAGGATCCCATGGCCTGGGCACCCCGCCTTCTGCCCTTTCTGGGTGTGACCAGCTTGGAAATGCCCCCCACCAAGGGTGGTCTTCCTGGCATTTAACCAACACAGTGCAGCCTGGGGAGGCTCTGCACTGGGGGAGTCCAGCCTGCAGGTCTTGGCCAGCAGATTCCATAATGGCATCCAGCCAAGTCCTCCCACCCTCCATGCCCAAGGCTGTGTGCTTGTGATGGCTGAAGTTCAGGGGCTGGGGAGGCAGGGTGTTAGGGGAGTCGTGCAGTGCAGGGCGTTCTGCCGTGTAGCCACTCACACTGGTGAAACTGGAGACACTTCTCAG